TTAACTTTCTTGAGGCGCTTATCAGTGCAAGTGCCAATTTTTTCAGGAGCGGATATCTAGTTTTCGCTTCCCCTAAGGTTTGACTCGTGTAATAAACGGGGAATTGCGTACCTTGCTCTTCTCGAACTAGGACACCGCTTACGGCGACTTCCGATACTACCAAGTACAAACAAAGTTTTTCGTCTGTTTTTGGAGTGCGAAGTAGTGGCGGGCTTGACATATATCGCTTTAGTTCCTCTAATGCTTGTTGGCACTCCGGGGTCAAAACAAAATCGTTCTTCTTTTTCAGTAGAGAGAAATATTTGTGACTTCAGTCAGATGATCTTGAGATGAACCGGTTTAAGGCTGCAATCCGACCGGTTAGCCTTTGTACGGCCTTCACGCTGTCCACAACGGTGATGTCTTCGATGGCCTTGATTTTATCGGGGTTAATCTCTATTCCCCGATGCGATACCATGAAGCCGAGGAACTTGCCCGAACCGACCCCGAAAGCACATTTCTCGGGGTTGAGCTTCATGTTGTATTTCCTTAAAATATCGAACGTTTCCTGCAAATGGGTCAAATGGTCTTCTGCGCACAGGGACTTAACTAACATGTCATCAATATTAACTTCCATTGATTTTCCTATTTGTTCTTCGAACATTTTATTTACTAGGCGTTGGTAAGTAGCCCTTGCATTTTTTAGCTCGAAGGGCATCATATTATAACAATACGTTCCATATTTGGTGACAAATGAAGGTTTTTCCTGGTCCTCCGGGTTCATCTGGATTTGATTATACCCGGAATAGGCATCGAGAAAAGTAAGGATCTCGTGGCCGGCCGTGGCATCGATCATGCGATCGATGTTATGCAGCGGAAAGGAATCTTTGGGGAATGCTTTGTTCATATCCTTATAGTCCACACACATTCTAAGTTTGTTCCCTTTTTTAGGGACCACAACTACGTTGGTTAGACATTCGGGATATTTCACCTCCCAAATGGATCCTACTTTGAGAAGCTTGGTTACCTCGTCCTTTATGAATGCGTGCTTTCTTTCGGACTGGGGTCTTCTCTTTTGCTTCACCGGTCTGAACTTGGGGTCCAAACTTAGCCGATGCGTCGTTATGTCCGGTGGGATCCCTGTTATATCTAAATGGGACCATTCAAAACAATCGATGTTATCGATAAGAAATTGAACGAGTTTCCTCCTGAGTTCGGGGCTCAACCCTGTTCCCAAGTATACCTTTCGCTCGGGCCAGTGCTCGATTAATATGACTTGCTCTAGCTCCTCGATTGTTGATTTGGTGGTGTCGGAGTCATCGGGAATCATGAAATATCGAGGGACCCTTTGATCTTCATCCTCTTCGATTTTCTGGTTGTCTGTCTGGGTCGATGCCGATGTCTGTGATTGCTATTTGGTGTCCCGTTCTCCTTCTGAGCCCAATCCCTTTATCGGTGAAAGTGAGGACATTGGTTTAGCTTCGTCGATGGAGAACATTTCCTTTGTGGCTGGTTGTTCTCCGTACACCATTTTGACACCTCCCGATGTCGGGAATTTGAGGGCCTGGTGTAGGGTCGAAGGCACAGCTCTGATATTGTGGATCCATGGCCTTCCGAAAAGGGCGTTATATCTCATATCGCCTTCGATCACGTGAAACTTTGTTTCCTTGATGGTCCCGGCCACATTTATTGGTAGGATTATCTCACCCTTGGTGGTTTTGCATGCCATATTGAACCCGTTCAGGACCAGAGTTGCGGGTACGATATGATCCTGTAGGCCGAGCTGCTTTACTACCTTCAATCGGATGATGTTGGCCGAGCTACCTGGATCGATTAACACACGCTTAATTTTAGTTTTATTCATGAGTATGGATATTACCAGTGCGTCTTTATGAGGTTGAATGACCCCCTCTGCATCTTTATCATCAAAGGACAAAGTCCGCATAGGCGCGTAATCTTGAGTCTGAGATCGCTTTTCCCTCACCATCGATGTTTTAGTGCGTTTAAGTACTGGTCTCTGAGGGGTATCGATGCCGCCAATGATCATGTGGATGACATTCTGTGGTTCTTCTTGCTCGTTTTGCTTGCTAAAATCCCTGCTTTAAAAATGGTTCTTTGCCCTATCACTCAGAAATTCACGAAGGTGCCCTTTGTTAAACAAGCGAGCTATTTCCTCTCTTAGTTGCTTGCAATCTTCCGTTCTATGGCCATGGGTACCATGATATTTGCACGTTTGATTGGGATTTCTTCGGGCGGGATTGGTTTGCATGGGTCGTGGCCATTTAGTGTCTTTGATACGTCCGATGGCTGACACAAGAGCGGATGCACTAACACTGAAGTTACATTCCGATAATCGAGGTGCTTCTATCGGATCGGCATATTTATCGAAGCCGCTCTTACTCAAAAGCCCCCGCAAATTTTGTCCTCGATCAATCCTTCGATTGTTACAAGCTGCATTGCGTGCTGAACTGTTGTTCACCCGATCTGTAACGTACGGTCGATATCGGTCTCTGTTCGACCTTTGTTCTCTGTCGATCTCCTTTTGGTTTTTAGTAACTGTCTTGTTCTGATGAACGGGTCCGTACGGAGCTCCCAACTGATCATCCTCGACCCTAATTTTCGATTGATATCGGTTGTGTACATCTGCCCAAGTTATCGCTGGATACTCAATCAAATTTTGTTTCAGCCAATGTGACGTTGTCAAACATAGCTCATTCAACCCTTGGGTGAAAGCTTATACGGCCCAATCGTCCGTGACCGGGGGTAATTCCATGCGTTCCATTTGAAATCGGGATACGAATTCCCTTAGCATTTTCATCCTGCCTTTGCTTTACTTTGAAGAGGTTTGATTTCCTTGTTGCAACCTTTATGGCACTAGCATGTGCCTTTACGAACGAATCTGCTAACATGGCAAAAGAATCGATGGAATTCAGCGGTAAATTGTGGTACCAGATCATCGCTCCCTTCGAGAGGGTTTCCCCGAACTATTTCAACAACACGGATTTGATCTCATCGTCCTCCAAATCATTTCCTTTTATAGTACATGTGTAAGAGGTGACATGTTCGTTAGGATTGGTCGTACCGTTATATTTGGGAATTTCGGGCATACGGAATTTTTTGGGGATTGGCTTCGGTGCCGCACTCGACGGAAAAGGCTTTTGTATGAAGTTTTTCGAATCAAGCCCCTTTATCATTGGCTGAGCCCCCGGGATTTGATCGACCCTGGCGTTGTACGTTTCCACCCTCTTGTCGTTGGCTTCGACTCATTTTGTAAGTTCCTCGAGCAATTTAGTAATTTCGGGAGTAGTCCCCGATTCTTGCTCGTTAGATTTCACTATGGCGGGCTCTGTTCTGGGGGTGACTTCTCGAAGTGGATTGAAATCCGGCCTGCTTTGTGCGCGAGTTTGGCTCTGTAGCTGAGCTATTGCTACTTGTTGGGCTTGTAGCATCTCGAAGATCATACGTAAGCTGGCCCCGATTTCCCCCGCATTTTGGGTGTCTCGGGCTACGGATCGAGTACCGCCCTGAATGTTTCTTTCCGGTTCAGAATGCTGGTTCACCTCCAAAGCTATTTGTGAATTGACATCCAATGGTATTCCGGCTCGAATTTCGGGTACTTCGATTCGAGCCTAGTGTGTCAAGCTATCGTTAATTGGCCTTCCGGCCCCGGGTGCCAAGTTGTTGGTTTCATCTTGAAGGTCGGCTTCGTAATCGATCGGTGAAGCCATTTGATTGGTGGTTATTCGTGGCTTATCCGAAATTCAAGATGTTTTCGGAAATAAGTGCAAAGCACAATGGCGTGTTTTTTTAAATTTTTATCAAATGACCACTGTTATCCTCGGCCCCACGGTGGGCGCCAAACTGTTTACCCGAAAAATGAATAGAGTTGAATTTATTCGCAGTTCCGAGGATATATGGCGTAACTTAACATAAAATGTAAGGGCAAATAAAAATGTAAATATAAATTGGGAAGAATGCAAAGTAGATAAGGTGATCTGGAACCATGAATCTTAGGATTCAACAAATAGAATCAGTCTAAGAAATCTGAAAGAAAACGATTCTTTATTGTAGAAGAATATAGCACTTTTATTACAATGTAAGCCTGAGAAAAAACCTGTCCTACAGAAATGGTAACCAAGCCCTATTATAGTGGAGGGATTAGGCTCTAAGTATAATAAAATAAACATTCAGTGGGAGACTCATGATAAGTCAGCTTTTCCATAATCTCTGCCAAGATTCTCTCTAGTGGGATTGCAACGGCTTTTGTCTGCGAGCTCGATCCTGATTAGAATCCTCGATTTTGGTTAGGGCTTGATTTCGGCTCGAACTCGTGACCTTGGTTCGAGCCCTCGAATTGATTCGAGGTCAATGTTGGTTGGTTTCTGGATTATCAGAATATAGATCTACTCTGCATCATAGTTTGATTTTGATTCGAGCTCGATAATGATATCGAACTCGACACGGATCGGCCTTCCGGGTTCAAGGTTAGTTCGTTCCACGATCAGGATCTTACTCCGATAAATCATCGTTCGAACTCGATCGGACGTGCTAAGACCGAAATCTATTTCGACCGTATATGTTACTGTATCTGAGCTTCTTCATTTGATAACCAAACAGGGACTCACAGCAGGATTTATTCAATGCTATGGGATCCATGTATGCTGCAGTGTTGTTTATTGGAATTACAAATAGCACTGCTGTCCAGCCAGTTGCTTCTGTTGAAAGATCTGTTTCATACAGAGAGAGAGCTGCAGGGATGTACTCAGCTTTACCATTTGCATTCTCTCAGGTGCGGTCTAAAGATTTCCGACTATATCCATTTTGTTAATAGTTAAAAATTTCTTGGTCTTTGGTATTAACAGTGCTCCATTTTTCCTATGCAGGTTGCTATTGGGTTTCCTTATGTGTTCGCACAGGCAGTAATATACAGCAGCATATTCTAATCAATGGCAGCCTTTGAATGGACTGCTTCCAAATTTTTATGGTACATATTGTTTATGTACTTCACTATGTTGTACTTCACCTTTTTTGGAATGATGACAACTGCAGCCATGCCCAACCACAATGTGGCTGCCATTATTGCTGCTCCTTTGTACATGCTTTGGAACCTTTTTAGTGGTTTCATGATACCTCATAAGGTAATGAACTAACATTCTTCTCTATGATTCAAACATCAGACATTCTATTTTTCGCTTAAATCAATGAATATCAAGAGCTATTGAAGACTGATTTCTGACCAGTTTCGAATTAATTGCTGCCAAGTTTAAAATGTGATGGCACTAGAGGTCCTTCGCTAAAACTTCTCGTCTCTTTTGTTTCTAATAGCATCTTCCTCTACTCTTTTGAAACAGAGGATCCCAATATGGTGGAGATGGTACTACTGGGCAAATCCTGTAGCTTGGACTCTATATGGCCTTGTCGCATCCCAGTATGCTGACGATGATAGACTTGTGAAACTATCGGATGGCATTCAGTCAGTTCCAATAAAGCTTTTAGTCAAGACTGTGTTTGGGTATAGGCATGATTTCATTGAGATCGCTGGTTTTTTGGTAGTCAGTTTTAGCGTGCTGTTTGCGGTGATTTTTGCTTATGCAATAAAATCTTTCAACTTCCAGAAGAGGTAACTCTCACTGCTGCAACTTCACTGCATTTCTTGGAGGTTCATGATCCTGATAGCTACTTCATGAGGCAGTTGAGCCACTTTAAGTGAATGTAGACATTTAAAATGAGTTATACATGTGAAATGAAGATGACATTAGGCAATTTGTAATTCTTTAATGCATGAGGTGATCTGGCAATAATGATCGTGGATTATTATTTTTGATCTTTGAGTGAATTTTTGTAACGATACATACGGTAGGCAAGACAGATATGTAATTAACTGTATCGTGAGTAAAAAGTTTGAGTTTCTCCTCCCTTGCCATTCTGGAAGAATTTAGTCTGTATATAATTGTTTATTAAAACGGTACAGGTACAGTTGAATTTGTAGCGTGATTTATAGACACATGAATTAGTTTGATCCAGAAATATGAATAAATAAGAACAAAATCAAGATTATAAAAATAACTTAAAGGAAATACAAGCATGGTTGTATGATGAGCCTCTCCGGAAGCGATAATAAGAGAAATGTTAAGAACAAAAGTAAGCAAATAATTTTATATAGTGAGAGCAAATTATAGCCTTTTAGTACAAATGATTTTCGTGTCCAACTATGGATACAAGTTTTCTCATTTATAGATCGATTCAGGGAGACAAGATCCCCAAATCAAGCTCTTCTTGAATGAGAATAAAACCCCTAACGATGGATGCATAACGGTCGAACATTAATATAGAGATTTTTTGTAACGGCTGCTCATTGAATGCTACCTTTTCTAGCCGATGTCTTCCTTTCAAATCTTCGTTCTTGGTTCCAATGCCTTCTGAACTTATTCAGCACCGGTCACATACTTATATCCGGTGCCAACTATTTACTGACTCATATTTTATTTGTCTTTAGTTCTACGTGTCATCTCGCCATTTGTCAAACTGTCGCTAACCAGTTTTACCCCAAACAGATAGTCTCCCTACTTTTTGGTGACAAAACATTGTGTTACAGGGAAGTAGATAAGACCCCTTTACTTGGCGGGAAAGTTCTTGAACGGTTTCTGACACTTGAAAGGACGCACGTCTCCTCGCATTTAATGAGTCGAACACGTGTTATCCCTTGATTCGGCAAATATTTGCACGAGTTTTCAATGTAATCATACTATGAATTTTGCCGTCTATAAACTTCTCCACCACTCATCACTTTTATTCTTCACTTTTACAAACTCTTCTTCTTCTTCGACTTTTCTTGGAACTCTACTGCAAACTTCCTCTTTCTCAGTAAAATCTAACTACTCAAATTTCTTATCACCATGTCTTCAGCTACAGTTGTTCTCGGAAATGGTATGTCTTTAATTAATGTTGACTTATTATTATGTTTCAGTTCCGCCTTACATACTCGGTACATTATTCGTACTGACGTCCTTTTATTGGGGACGCTGCATTCATGCCTGCAGGTATAGATAATCAGTTTGACAATCCCTTATAGTAGACGAGGTCGGCATTCAATGAAGGATCGGTAAAACTCCACCTCATTCGGAGTGCAGCCGAGTCTATGAGTCATCGTGTCAGAGTTTTGCCACAGACTTATGCATAGTCCGGTACCCTTTTCCATTTGATGTCGCATAATCTTAGAGGCTTTGTAGACAGAGGTTCATTTTGTACAGTATGTCAGAGGCCTTGATGGCCCATATGTATTCATGTTTTAAGAACGATGGTTCATTGAAACCGCGTTTTCCCACTTATAGTTATACATTACGAGTTGTGGCCATGTTGGCCTATGATAGTTACCAAAAAAAGAGTTACATGGTGGTTCGCTCAGGCCAGTACGGCCCAGGTGCCAGCCACACCTCCCCAGGTTTGGAGCGTGACAAAGTGGTATCAAAGCAAGTCGTGTCCTAGAGAGTCTACAAAGTCGTTCCTAGTAGAGTCTCAGTTATGGGTGTGTTGTGCGCCACATTTATAACTGAGAGACTATAGGGCATTTAGAAAATGTTACCCTTCTTTTATTTCCAGATCATGCCATAGAGCTGAGTCGTAAGAAGTCAGTATGAAGTTTTTACCAGATTTTGTATGCACTAGAGGTGCAGGTATTACAGTAGAACTTTAAGGTGTAATTTCCACCTATGTGGAAGGGAGGTTATGAAAGAAACAGAAGATACGATGTGATATTGAAAGGTAAGTAAGGTAAAGGTGAAGAAGATACGAGATACTCAAGTACAAAAGGTTGTAAATAGTCGAGACTTCAGATATAGTTTGGGGTTTAGTTTACATAGGAGACCCTAGCAAAATTCTTATAAATCTCTAAGAGTTAACATTCGAGGAATAATGTTTCTAAAGGGGGGAAGGATATTACATCCCATACTTTAATACTAGGATAAGTTGTAGTAATCCATACGAGCTTGAAGGGATTAAGACCATTCATGACGTTATAAAAGATTTGTGACTATGTTATCGTAAGACCCCGTAAGTTTAACAGCCTTGATACCGTTATTTACATTTGATATGGTATTTTGAGTGGAATATTTTTGTAAAAGAAGGTTTGAAAAATATGGTTTTATATAGTTATTAATATTACTACTTTCGAATATGCTTTAAATTATACACAGAATATGAGAAAGTCTATGAGAATTTCTTTATTATAAAGATAGAAATTATTTTCTCACAAGAAAAGAAAGTTATCTTTTTACCATTTTAAGAATTAAGCGTACGAAAATTTGTACTCTTTATATGAGATTAGGAAAATTAGAAATTGAGAAAATATATGTATTTTTACATGGATGTTTTAATGAAATAATAGTGTATGTATTGATTTTATATGGTACCATAATTTATTAATATTTTAATAACAGTACTTTAGGATGAGGACGAGACTATTTTCGAGGTTATAAGTATTTATGCTATTTCAAACAAGTGATAAGTAAATTCGTGAAAGTGAGAGGGTAAGCGAATCAAAGAAAATGAGTTTCGTCGAAGTTTATAATTTTGGGATAAAATACGGTCCAAGCTATAATACCCGGTATTTATGGACTAGTGCCATACAAGGTACCACATGACTATGACAGTAAGGTATATAAAGTGTGTTAAAAGTGAGTAGTATTTTAAGTAATTGAGATAATTCTTAATTATGTGGGTAATTAGTTAATTATTAGGTGGGGACATCACCCCCCACGTGGCAGCAAGTGAAAGAAGGACTCAAAAAAGTCTAATGGTGACTCTTTGTCCATGAGACTAGGTGGCAAATTTGGAAAATTCTCTGGCCAACTAAGCCACAAAGTGGGGCCCACAACTTATAAATTTAAGAGGTCTTATTATCTTGTTAAAAGTATGATGTTATTTTCTAAAATGGAGGGCCCTATCTCTCGTAGTGGCAGGAAGAGGAGTGCATGCATAAAAGTTATATACTTCTTCATCTGGAATGTTTTCTTTGGTAACATTGTCTCCGGTTCGGTTATTGAGTGATTAAAAAAAATCTTTAAGGATGTAAACAATCTACTTTCAACGGCTGCACCATCAACAGAACGGAGTGACTCAGCTAGTCACTGGATATCTACCGAGTGTTGTATTAATTTTATTTTCCTACATTGTTCCTCCATTGATGATGCTAAGATTTTCTAAGTGCTGGAGGAATTTTAAAAAATGAGTCCATAGGAAACTTCATAACGCTACAGCAACGTGTGATGAAATTCTAAGAGAGCACGGTACTATCTTTCTCAAGAATATCATACAGAATTTTTTCCTACTTCAATCCGTAGTTACGTGTTTTTCGCAAAAGACGTGGGTCAGAGGAATTGTTAAAAGTAATTGACTTAGGTATGTTAAGGCTATCCCTTCTTTTCTTTTGGCATGATCCAAGTAACGATATATAAACGTAATGTTATTTCATAAATGGTTCTACTCTTAGTAACTAAGAAGGTCTACATTGTTCATTCCTGTAAAATGATATTCAAAGCATGCCTAAGTATTTTCCTAACTCTCTATTAAGGCATTCAATAAAGATGTTAATGTTCGTAATGGTATTATATGCATCATCATTTACCACCGAGCTACGGCCGGTTGGACAGTTATACATTTACCATCGAGCTACGGCCGGTCGGGCAGTCATGCATTTACCACCGAGCTATGGCCGGTAGGGCAGTTATACATTTACCATCAAGCTACAGCCTGCCGGGAAATCATGCATTTACCACCGCGCTACGACTGGTCGGGCAGTTACCACTGATCAGTTGGGCCNGATTCTTATATATCTTTAATTAATGTTGACTTATTGTTATGTTTCAGTTCTGCCTTACATACTCGATATATTATTCGTACTGACGTCCATCTGTTGGAGACGCTGCATTCATGCCTCCAGGTATAGATAATCAGTTTGATGAGCCCTCATAGTAGACGAGGTTGGCATTCAGCGAAGGATCGGTAAAACTTCACCTCATTCGGAGTGCAACCGAGTCTATGAGTCATCGTGTCAGAGTTTTGCCACAGACTTATGGGTAGGCCAGTACCCTGTTCCATTTGATGTCACATAATCTTAGAGGCTTTGTAGACAGAGGTTCATTTTGTACAGTATGTCAGAGGCCTTGACGGCCCATGTATATTCATGTTTTAAGAAAGATGGTTCATTAAAACCGCGTTTGCCCATTTATAGTTATACATTACGAGATGTGGCCATGTTGGCCCATGATATTTACCAAAAAAAGAGAGTAACATAGTGGTTCGCTCAGGCCAGTACGGCCCGGGTGCCAGCCACGCCTCCCCAAGTTTGGGGCGTCACAAGTCATCTCTCAGTCACCTCCCAGCTAAGAGTTCATCTCGTGCTCCATCTATTCAGGTTTAATCTTTGCTGGGTTCTTCTAGCAGTTATTCTGGTTCTTGGGGTCCGATTCAGTACCCCACCACCATTGACGAATCGGAGTTGCTACTAGTGCGGGGAGTTTGGACATGTGAGGAGGTATTGTCCCCATCTCTTGGGGGGTCCAGTTTAGCAGAGGGGTCAGGCTATGACTTCTGCACCCGTGTAAGTCAAGTTGGAAATTACATGATAGACTAAAGTTCCAAATGAGTATGCACAAGACCAAACTTTGGATGAGCATACATACTTATATATAAGGAGTTACATGACGAACAACCTGTCAAATTAAAGATCTTTGAGTTTAGTTTCTAACGCTTTAAACTTTTTGTCATTTGGATACTCATACAAGAAGTTATAACCAAATTACCAAAG